GAGCCTTCAAAACTATTCCAAGAGGCGCCCGAGAAACATGTCAAGAAACTCCAGGTGTCCAACAAGCCCTGAAGACGCCCGAAGACGAATCGATGTTTTCTTGATGGTTTTGGAGCGGTTTTGGCACTCTCCAAAACCACCCGACGACGACAACGACGACAGCGACCGCGGCGACGGCGACGACGACGAGGCCACCCAAAGAACCCAAGGGGACCCCGCAAAACCTCCCAAATGAAGAGGAAGATGCACAATCCGCCCGATTCCCAAAAAGCCCCCAGGCTCTGCTCGATCATCGAAGGTCCGGCGCAACTTGGCATAGGATGACCACAACGATGACGGCGGCCGCGACGGCGGCGCCGACGGCGGCAGCGTGACACTCTCCCCAGATTTCCGACACCGCTTATTGTGGTTGCGTGAGCCCCAGGCCGAAGCGGGTTTCTGGAGGCCCATATTGCCGCCATGGGAAAAGCGGAGGAGGGCATGGACCAAATATGGTCGAACCCACGGGCCTCTCCGCATCCTCCCCACGGTGACCCGAGGCGCACCCCTGGCCGCAGGGACTCCTACTCGTGGGTCCTACACATTCATCCCCTGACATCTGGCTGGCACCGCGCCTCCCGGCTTCCCGGGGGGCCCCCGAGACGCCCGAGGACAGCCCAAGACGACCTCAAGGAGCCCCCAGAACGTAGAGAACAGCCCAACGCGCTCCCGCGCAGCCCGAGACGCCCTTCCGACGGCTCTCCAGGCTTCCAGGAGGCCTCCAGAACCCCCAGGGGGTCCGGAAGATCCCACGCCCCTGAAGGACCTGGCTAATAAAGCCCGCGAGGCACAAACAAAACAGAGCGCCGAACAGCGCCAGGGAATTGGAAACACATGGAAATCCCACAGTTCTTTGTTTTTTCAAGTTTGGCCCCCGGTCTACTCTTGCACAACAGACCACAATTCAGACCCCCTCTCACCTCTGAAAAAGAACCCAGGAAACCTTTGAGGGACCCAAATCGTTAAATACCTAAAGGGGATTCATGACTTCTGCGTTTCCGCCCTTCCCCTCCTATACGGTTCCGAGGCTTGCGCAGGGCCTCCAAGGGAGTCCCTGGGCGCAAGAAGCGTCCAAAATGAGATTGCGTGAGTTAGCCGATCAAGCCTAGCTAGAACTTGAGCGCGCGCGAAGCGCGCGACGGTTCTAGTGTATAGATAACAGAGAGAGAGAGAGAGAGAGAGAGAAAGAGAGAGAGAGAGAGAGAAAGAGAGAGAGAGAGAGATAGAGAGAGAGAGAGAGGCGTGGCGAGGCCTGCAAGGAAAGGATGGGCACCGATATGTGGGCGCGCAAGATTTTGATATCCCCCTCACCGAGGCGGGTTCTAGGTGATATCCCCCTCACCGAGGCGGGCTCGTCATCATCGTCACAGTGAACGTCGTCGTCCTCATCATCGTCATCACCATCATCATCGTCACTATCATCCTCATCACCATCATCATCGACATCATCAAAACCATCATCGTCATCTGCTTGGGCACACCACTCACACGTTTCGTGGCCCCATAGGGAGCTCCACCGAATGCCCCTGTGCCGCCGGCCGCATGCGTCCCGCACGCCCAATTCGGCACACCTCTCACACGTTTCGTGGCCCCATAGGGAGCTCCACCGAAGGCCCCAGTGCCGCCGGCCGCATGCGTCCCGCACACCCACTTCGGCACACTTGTCACACGCTTCGCGGCCCCATAGGGAGCTCCACCGAAGGCCCCAGTGCCGCAGGCAGCATGCGTCCCGCACGCCCAATTCGGCAAAGCCCTCACACGCTTCGTGGCCCCATAGGGAGCTCCACCGAAGGCCCCAGTGCCGCCGGCCGCATGTGTCCCGCACACCCAAGTCGGCACACCTCTCACACGTTTCGCGGCCCCACACGGATGTCCACCGAAGGCCCCAGTGCCGCCGGCCGCATGCGCCCGGCACGCCCAATTCGGCACACCCCTCTCACGTTTCGCGGCCCCATAGGGAGCTCCACCGAAGGCCCCAGTGCCGCTTGCCGCATGCGTCCCGCGCACCCCGTCGGCACACCCCTCACACGTTTCGCGGCCCCATAGGGAACTCCACCGAAGGCCCCACTGCCGCAGGCCTCATGCGTCCCGCACACCCAATTCGGCACACCTCTCACACGTTTCGTGGCCCCATAGGGAGCTCCACCGAAGGCCCCAGTGCCGCCGGCCGCATGCGCCCCGCACACCCACTTCGGCCACAGAAGGCCCCAGCGCCGCCGGCCGCATGTGTCCCGCACACCCAAGTCGGCACACCCCTCACACGTTTCGCGGCCCCATGGAACTCCACCGAAGGTCCCAGTGCCGCCGCCTGCATGCGTCCCGCACACCCAATTCGGCACACCCCTCACACGTTTCGTGGTCAACCTGAAACGCCACGACGACAGCCTCACGGGGGACCTCGCGGGCCCGCTGGTGTTCATCGAGCCCCGCGCATCGGAGCCGTTCACCTTCCGCGCCTCCAAGGTCACCCGGACGGGCTTCCCATTCTCGCGCGGCAGGGTGATCACCACGGCGGCGTGCCAGGGGCGCTCCACGCGAGAAGGCGGGGCGAGGGAAGGGCGCTCCGGGGGCGGCCAGACCTCCAGGGCGCGAGCAGTCCGCAGCCAGACCTCGGTCCTGTGGACTCTCGCCCTGGGCCGTCGGCTGCCCGGCGCACCGTTACTTCCGCCGGCGTCGCCCAGGCGTCGCATTGGACTGCGGCCGCCACGAGGTCGGGAACGGCAAGAAGGAGGGGCGACGACTGGTGGCTGGAGCTCTACGCGCTGCTCCCGCGCGTCACGCGCCACGCGGACCTCCTGCTCGGGCGGGCGCCGCGCGTCGAGTTCTTCCTGGCCGGGCCGCCGGCGGGCTTGCTGAAGCAGCTGGAGCAGTTTGTGGCGTGCGCGAAGCGGTGCAGGAGGGAAGCCACGGTCCTCGCCAGGGAGCTCGGTTTCACCGAGTTTATCCGCGAGGGCAGACCCGAGGAGCGGCCCGCCCCAGCGGCGCCCTCTCTTGGCCGTCCGACTGTTTGCCTCGCGTCGCGGACGAGCCGCGCGCGTCGCTGAGACCCTCTCGGATCGACCGACGCGCGTCGCGCGAACTCCGCGCTGCGCTCTGCCCAGCGCCTCGCTCGCCCCTCGTCGCTCCGCCCAGCGGCCAGCGCCGCGCGCGCTACCAGTTAGCCTGCGAGTGCTGTCTGCTCCGCGCAGCGGACGAACTGCGCGCGTCATTGCGACCCTTTCGTGGCGACCTGCGCGCGTCGCGGGGGCCCCGCGTAGCGCGGCGCCCGCGGCATTGAACTTTGGAGCGCGCGGGCACGAAGGAAGGAAAAGAAGGGGAGGCAGCGGGCGCGATCCTCGCGTGGGGCGTGCCGACATGGGCGCCGCGGCGAGCGGGCGCTGCCGTCGGGGTCCCCAGCGGAACCCCTTGCGGAAGCGACGCTTAGTGTCGCGAGTTCTCAGAGTCCGGCAGACCCAAACCATTCGCAGTCGCATGCGGAAGCACTAGGCGACTCCATACTCGCAGTCATGCAAATAGAATCAATCGTGCGCATATTCATTCAGAGTCAGACTCACTCGCGCTTAGACGCGCCCGCGCTCAAGCTTTCATGCTCAGACCTATCGTTTTCGCTCGTGTTGTCTACCCTATCACACAATTCGGCCCGCACCTCATACGGTTCGTGACCCCATAGGGAACGCCGCCGAATAATATATTCCCAGTTGCGGTATTCTCAACTGCTTATGGTTGGGTTTTTCGCAAGGTATTTTTTTGGGTGGTGGTGCGCATTCTTTGAGACATACTATGTTTTTGTTCTATGCCCCCTTTCTAACGAATACTTCGCGGTGCGCATGCACGGGTCGCCGCGCGAACGTGTCAACATCATTCAAAAACCAATGCCGGCATATTCGTCGTTTCGCACACGCGCGAGCCGCGATTTTGTGGTCCTCGTCCTTATCGCCCTCCCTTTTCCCTGTCTCATGAACGCGCTGGATTGTTCCATTGGCCGCTTCATTCGCACAAATCCTGAGCGCAGCACCGGTCAGATCAAACTGATACATGTTCATATTAATTTGACACTAGGGCTGTTGTATCATTTCTCTCCTCCTCCCCAGCTCGTCCTCCTTCTCCTTTCCCCTTTTCTTTTTTTGTCGGCCTGTGTTTTTTTCCTCCCTGCTTGGGCCATGGTTTGAAGCAGCCGATGCTCATGACAGTAGTTTGGCAGCTACGCTCACCGCTTTCTCTCGTCCTCCTCCTCCTCCTCCTCCTCCTCCTCCTCCGCCTTTTCATATTATCCTCCTTTTCCTCTTCCTCCTTTTCCTCCTCCTCCTCTTCGTCCTCCTCCTCCTCCTCGCGCCTGGCAACGTCGTGCCACGATATTCGTTTCCAGAACGCGTGCGTTTTGTCAGTGGAGCCGGCAGTTTGTGTGACAAACTGGTTCAGTAGTCCACACGCAGAACAGCAATTATCGTGGCTAATCAAGCTTCTCGGGCACGAACACTCGGGTTACAAATTTCGGTCACGCTTGCAAGGCGACCTTGCTTTGCCTATGCAGGTTAATGTTTCGTGTGTTGGTCCGCTTGCTACAGGTGGGCCTTCGCGTGAGTCCGGGTTTGCATCTGTTGGTGGCAATTGCGTACAATATGCAACCGTCCAAAAACCAGTGGATTTCAATCAAGTTCAAAACATTGTTGTTCAAACGCTGTCAAGCACACTTTGGTTTTCCAGCAAACCAATGCCAGATTTCTGCGCGCGCGTTCGCTGAAGTTTCAGGGCGTCCAGAGGTTTTAGCCATTTGGTCCAACATGACCATGCGGGCTACACGCGCGCACATGTCGAACGCGTTCAACAGCCATCACGCGCCGAGGAAATCCCAATGGGGTAGGTGAATAATTGCTACACCGCGGGGGGGTGGGAACTAAGCTGTTCAGTTGCTGAACCCTGGTTTTCCAGACTGATGGCCTCTGCAATGGAGGGTGGTGGACGTGCGCAATGTGCTTTGCTTCTGCGTTTTTTTTTTTTTTTTATTGTTATGAGACATGTCAGCCCACTGGGGCTGATACTTGCATGCCCGTCCGAGGGTTTCGAGCTTGAGATACCATTCGTCAGGATGCTCTGCTTGCGCTCTGCTGGAAGCGCTGGCAGCGCGGCATCATCTTGAGAGTTGGCTGGGTGCCCAACTGGTGAGATAGGCGACGCGGCAGGTTGACGCAGCGGCACCTGCTCTCAATTGCCCACGCGCCGTATAGTGCAAGGCGCGTGCCCGTTTCTTCCACTCTTCTTCATCATACACTGATTAGTATTATCCTCTTGCTGCTGGTTCTCCCGCTTCGATTCTCCCATCCTGCTTTTTTGCTGTTCCCTGTCATCCTTGTTCTCATCTTCATCCTGTGCCTCCGTCTCCCCTTTCTGTTCCGCCTCCTTCTGATCTGCTTCCTCCTGCTCCGCCTCCTCCCTCCCACACCTTCCCTCCCCTCGCTCCCCCCTACTGGTTTGCCGCCGTGCGTTTTTTTGTGCCCGTTTGGGTCGCGGGGGGTCTTCGCACAGCGCCGTTGCCCCTTCTCCTCTTTCTCCTCCTCCTCCTCCTCCTCCTGCCTCTGCTGCAAGCTCTTCCGCGGCGCATTATGGGGACTTGTTTGGAGGGTGCAGGCTTGCTGCATGTTTGCTCGATCGAGAACAGCACGTTCCGTCCCCCGCCGACTGAGGGGGGAGATGTGGGCTTCCGCCCCCTCTTGCTGCTTGCTGTGCTCGCGAGGCATTGTGCAGATGCATCTGCCTTCGCCCGCATTGCCGCATTCAGAAGAAGGGTGTGAGCGATGACGTGGACAACATGGATCTCGCCAAGTGTACATGTAAGCATATATGTCTCGCCACTTGCAGCTCGTCCTTCCTGATCCCCCACTCTGCGACTCCCGGGCAGAGCATGCTCCTGTGCTGTCTTAGTGTTCTCTGGCATCGGAGCGGGACTGCGTGGTACCTCTCTCTGGGATTGTGCCGGGGCGGGGGGATCGTTGGCCGGGGAGGCCCGGGGGGGCCCGGGGGTCCTGGGCCGTGGCGGGGGCCGGGGCCGAGGCCATGGGCCCAAGAGCCAGGGAGCGCGTGGCACGGGGGCCCCTCCCCCCTGCAGGGCCGGGGCCAGGGCCAGTGCCGGGGCTGGGCCCCCGGCCCGGGAGAACGCAGCATGGGGACCCCCGCAGAGCGGAGCTCGAGTCCACGCTCTGTCAAACTCGCGCGCCAGATCGGCGGATAGATGCATTTCTGCGTATATAGGTATGCGTGTGTGTATATATAATATATATGTATATATATATATGTATATATATATATATATATATATCAGAGTGAGGGGGGCGATCGGTCAGTCACTGTCCCTAGGCGCGCGGCTGAAGTGAGGTTCTGCGGTGCGGATTGTTGTTGTTGTTGTAGTTGTTGTTGCCCTTCGTGGCCCCGTTCTAAGCCCTTCGTGGCCCCCTCGCTGCCATTAGTGGCCCCATATATGTCCATATACGTATGCCCTTCGTGGCCCCCGCTCGTTCGCGCCCGTCGTGGCCCCATATGCATGCCCTTCGTGGCCCCGCTGTCGCCCTTCGTGGCCCCCTCGCTGCCCTTCGTGGCCTCATATATGTCCATATACGTATGCCCTTCGTGGCCCCCGCTCGTTCGCGCCCGTCGTGGCCCCATATGCATGCCCTTCGTGGCCCCGCTGTCGCCCTTCGTGGCCCCCTCGCTGCCCTTCGTGGCCCCGTTGCAGCCCTTCGTGGCCCCGTCCTTGCCCTCAGCGGCCCAATATACGTATGCCCTTCGTGGCCCCCGCTCGTTCGCGCCCGTCGTGGCCCCATGTGCATGCCCTTCGTGGCCCCGCTGTCGCCCCTTGTGCCCCCTTCGCTGTCCTACGTGGCCCAGTTGCTACCCTCAGTGGCCCCGTCGTTGCCCTCTGTGGCCTCGCATTATCTGCCATTCGTGGCCCCCGCTCGTTCGCGCTCTTCGTGGCCCCATACGCATTCCCTTCGTGTCCCCGCTGTCGCCCTTCGTGGCCTACTTCGTGCCTTTCGTGGCCCTGCTGTCGTTCTCTCTCTCTCTCGCTCTCGCTTTCGCTCTTCGTCGTCGTCGTCGCCGCCGTCGTCGTCGTCGTCGTCGTCGTCGTCGTCGTCGTCGTCGTCGTCGTCGTCGTCGACGTCGTCGTCGTCGTCGTCGTGGTCGGTCCCCTGTCCGTCCCTCGTGGGGTCGGGTTGCCGCCGATCAGCGCTGCCGCTGGCCAGGCCGACGGTCCGCGGCCGCCTCGCCGCTTGCTGGGGCCCGGCCTGCAGGCAAGAAAGGTATACCCCCAAAAGGGGTACGATCGAAGACGAAGAGGGCGGGTATCGATGGTTAGGGAAATATGCTTTAACGGACACTCGAGCAGATAAGAGCGAACAGTCTTAAATTGATGATTGTTGTTGTTGTCGTTGCTGTTGTTATTGCTGTTGTTGTTGTTGTCGTTGTCATTGTCGTTGTCGTTGTCGTTGTCGTTGTCGTTGTCGTTGTCGTTGTCGTTGTCGTTGTCGTTGTCGTTGTCGTTGTCGTTGTTGTCGTTGTCGTTGTCGTTGTTGTTGTTGTTGGTGTTGTTGTTGTTGTTGTTGTTGTTGTTGTTGTTGTTGTTGTTGTTTGTTATCGTCGTCCCCCCCGCGACCGAGCCCGCGACCCACCAGCCACCCACCCGCGACCCGCCCGCGACCCACCTGCGACCCGGCTTGCGACCCACCCCGCGACCCCCCCGCGACCCACCCGCGACCTGGCCTGTGACCCACCCGTGACCCAGCCCGCGACCTCCCCGCGACCCACCCGCGACCCACCCACCCATCCAAAAATGTAAAATCGGCGCTTGCGGCGGGCTCAACTGCATAATTTGTAAAAGTTGGGCGCCTGCGGCGGGCTTCTTGAGGGCCTCGCAGACTGCCGACGTCCTCGCCGTCCCTTCACTCTTATCCGCAACTGCGGGGTGCTACTTCTATCGATGCAGCGTGTCTGTGTGTGTGTGTTCGTGTGTGTCTGTTTGTGTGTGTGTGTGTGCCATCGTGCGTGCGTGCGTGCGTGTGTGCGTGCGTGCGTGCGTGTGTGTGTGTGTGTGCCTTTCTCTCTCTCCCTCTCTCTCCCTCTCTCTTTCTTGTTTTGTTTCTTTCTTTCTCTCTCTCTCTCTCCCCCCCTCTCTCTCTGTTTGTTCTCTCTCTGTCTCTCTCTCTTTCTATCTGGTTGTTTCTCTCCATGCATCGTTATAGCTATTATTCTCTATATGTGCCCAACTTTACCCTATTTGCGTTCTGATATGTATTGTAAAGGCCTTGCTGCCCTGCCGCCGACCCAGACGGACGACAACGACAACGACGAGGGGATGACCCTGCCACAAGCTCGGGACATGGGGCGGGCGGTGGAGGAAGGAGGAGGAGGCGGACGAGGAGGCGGCGGAGGAGGAGGATGAGGAGGGCGAGGAGGAGGATGATAATGAGGAGGAGGAGGAGGAGGAGGAGGAGGAGGAGGAGGGGGAGGAAAAGGGCCGTATGTCTCCTCGGGGGCGCTTGGATCGTCGGGTGGGTGTAAGTGCGATAAGAGTGTTGTGCATTCGATGAAGTCGTTTGAAGGAAGTTATACGTAGGTTCATCTGACAAGACCCCACGTACGTCACATACCTTAAATAACAAACTGACGCCCAAACTACCTAGGATTATGGTAGAAACGCGTGTTGAACAACGTGGCATACTTCTTAACGCCTGAACGAACTATATTGTTGAGCCCGCAATCTAACACAATAGCCAAGGTAGAATTAGACATACAACACCATGTATCTGTTTTAATGTTTAAGTCTACTAAATTGTTTTGCCGCGTCGGACTTGAAACACATAGCGTGTTTGCGATGTGCGTTGGTGTTCGGAATTTCCACGATTCAATAACAGCAGAATATATATACCAAAGCAATCCCAACAAACAGTCTTAAACAGTTGTTTTGGACAGGCGTCGCAGGTCCACGCGCGCGGGGCCGGCCTCAGAGTCGACGTTTGGGGGGCCGCCCAACGCCGCCCATTCCCTTCCCCCCCTTGCCACCCTTTCCATTTTCCGCCGCCCATCGCCGCATATTCTCCACCCCTTACCCCCTGCCCCTGTCATCCCTTCCCCTCCCATTCGCGGCCATCACCGCCCACCCTCCATGTAGCCCCCCTCTCCCCGGCGGCAATCCTGCCTTCTCTACTCGGCGGCAGACCCACCTTCTCCCCTCGATGGCAAACTCGCCCTCCCCCCCTATCCCCCGCCTTCCCCTCTCCTCCCTGCCCACCACCCCACTCACCTTCGCTCCCCATCCTCCTCCAAGGCGGCCTGCCCGCTAGCGGCGAAACCGCTCTCCTTCCCCCCCTTAATTCCTCGCGTGTTTTTTTCCTTCTTCTTCCACGCGCTGGAGAGCACGCAGCCATCGCCCAGCAGCCTCCAGTAGGCGGCCACAGCTGGCTGGATCAGGTCGGCGGGCATCACGGCGACGTCGTTGAGCGGCCGCCACGCAGACGCGCCGGGGCACGGCGCGCGCGCGCCCACTCCAGGGTCTCCACCAGCAGGTGCCAGGCGGCGGCGGCGTGCACGCAACAGTGCACGATGTGCGCTTCGCCGTCGCCCAAGAGGAAGTCCTTTTGGCGGTAGCGCGTCGATTTTTTTGGCCTGCGCGCCGACCCCGCAAAACAATGGTGCTGGACATGTGTGCTGTTGTGTTGTATATCCCTGGGGATTTTTTGGCTTCCGCACGTCTGGCCGTTGATCGACGCCCCCCTTATGGTCCAGGCAGCAGCCTTGAGGGCCGCAGACTCGCACTTCTTCAAACTTGAGGATTAATGAAGGGGGTGCAAGTTTGCGGTCCAAGTGCCCGACCGCGCCGTTCAGGTCTGGCGTCCGCCACAACTTGGCGCGAGGGCGCGGCGCCTCCTTCGCGTCCTCCAGGTGGCGCGCGAGCATCATTGTCAATGCAGATAGTTCGAAGTTGGCAGGGATGTCGAGCTCCTCCGACCTCGACCGACGCGGATTCTGCTTCCGCTCGCGAACGAAGGCGCCCAGCCAGATGCCATCGGCCGCAGGCTGGTCGGCGACGTGGCAGAGGAAGTGGCGCTTCGGCTTTGTCATGTCAGCCCCGTGCGCGGCCGCGTGCAGCGCCGAGGCGGTCGAGGCCGCGCCGCCCCGCCGCCCCCGCGGGCCCGCCGCGGCCCCGATCCTCTGGACGGGGCCGGACCGCTGGCGGGCCGACGCGGTGCCTCCTCGAACGCACAGGGTGGCGTTCGCGTTTCAGCCGCGGCCGCGCGCCCCTTCGCCCTCCAAGTAAATGTCGAGCAGCGAGCGCGTCGCCTCGAACGACCGCGCCGCGGCGTCCGCCACGCTGCCTGGAAGCAGCTCTGCGTGCACCCGATGTCGAACCAGAGGGATGATGGCCAGGCGGCCCGGAGCTTTGCCGACGAAGTGCGGCGCCTTGAGAGTCGCCTTCTTCCGAGCCAAACTGAAGAGATGCAGCGGCGGTGCCCTGCCGCGCCTGCCCGTGCGCCGCGCTGCCAAGCGCCCCCGCCGCGTGCCCCGCGCGTCGGGAATGACATCCTTCGCCGCCCTGAGGAGAGCGTCGATTTCAACTTACGCGGCCCCGCCGCTGGCCGGCGCCGCGCGCGCGGGGCCCCTCGCGCACGTGCCCGGCGGCGCCGCCG